TACACCCTCATCATTCACTCCTTCGTAGAGAAGGGAAAGCTTGACTCTAGCTATCTTTCTCTGGTCTATTTAAATACTACTAATAATAAAATAATAATAATAATAATAATAATAATAATAATAATAATAATAACAATAATAATAATAAAAAAACATTCTGCTAGACAGACAGAATATATACACTAAGTGGTATATATCTCTGGGTATATATACACTAAGAATTTACCCAGAGTTCTGTTTAAGGTATTAAAGTATTCTTGACTGGTGGTGAACAGGTGACACGCAGCCTCAATGACCTTCTTGCAGCAGATAGCTTTTAAACCCCCACTAACCAACTATTCTATCATGTTCTGCTAGACAGGCAAACAACTACGAGACAGGTAGGAACAACTGCAACACAGGCAAACAACTACGAGACAGGTAGGAACAACTGCAAGACAGGCAAACAACTACGAGACAGGTAGGAGCAACTGCAAGACAGGCAAACAACTACGAGACAGGTAGGAGCAACTGCAAGACAGGCAAACAGCTGCTAGACATTATAACAACAGGCAAGTTGATTTTGCAAGAGTGTTGTGTTAGGAGTTGTGTGTGTAAGAGAAGAAATTTACCCAGGAAACAGCTGCTCTTACGATTTACACAACAAAATTAAAATGATCCGAGATTCACTCTTTGGCAATACGAGGGAGACAGGAAATTATTTTTCACCCTCTAGGGAGGGAAGAATTGCTGTTGGGAGAGCGTGAGAGAGAGAGAGAGAGAGAGAGAGAGAGAAGAGAGAGAGAGAGAGAGAGAGAGAGAGAGAGAGAGAGAGAGAGAGAGAGAGAATGTGAGAGAGGTAGAACAAAGCAGTGTTGCGTAAATAGGATAGCAGAAATAGGATAGCCGATGAGAAGGGCTGTCTATTTCTTTCTCAACTGGGGCTATCAACTATTATATAGATGGTCGAGACAAACATAATAAAGAAGAATATACTTCTGCCATCCCCCCTCAATCATGGTTAAAAAAACAGTTATAGAATTTATAAAATAGCAAGCAGTAGACGGAAGGTATGGTGTATACACTGCCTCTACTGCTTAGTACTACTACTACTACTGCTGTTGCTACTACTACTACTACTACTACTATTACTACTGCTACTGCTACTACTACAGCTATTCTACTAATACACTACTACTACTTCTAGATACTTTTTAAACGTCTAAGCCACCTCAACAATCTTTCCTAAGCCCTCTGAACATTATTTAAGTAACTCCACACCTCTTAATCTTCAGGCTCCAAATTCTTTGCATAAAATTCACATCTCTCACGAACGTGACACCTTCACTGCAAACACCAGGATACCGGTGGCCACTGTATGGAGACAACATTAACTAGCAAAATCTTACATTCGCAAAATGTTGGTCATCTAACTGGTCCTTTAAAGACTGGATTGGTTCAACGTCCACAGCTTCCGTGGGAAGACTTCTCCATGCCTCTTGATGCTCTGACACTCGGTCAGGGATGCTGCACATCTCCCCAATTTCGTGTAGTCTGTAAACCTCACAGTTATCGATGTTAATCCACCAGTTAAAGATCATTTACGTATGTTAAATAGTAAGACTAGGCGCAGAACTGATACTTAAAGGACCCCACTCATCACGTTTCACCACTTAGATACTCCTCCATTTAAAAATACTCGCTATTTTGTGCCAGTGAACCAGTCACTAAGCCAGTTCTGGACACTGTTGCTAATGCAGAGTGCCTTTAGTTTACTACGTAATTTCCGATGTGGTGACTGGTCAAATGTATTCTGGAAATTAAGATTCACTGCATCCCAGGGAAACTCTCTTGTCTCAATTTTTTTTGTAAATGCTCCTGGATAGCTTCAGTAAATTTGTTACACTGGAGCATTTATTGAGAAAACAAATGCTGATTTTGAATTCAAATGTTTCTGTCTTCAAGGGAGAATGCAACGTATATCACTAAACCACAGAACGGGTGGGATATGAACCCATAGCTAGTGAGTGGTAAAACTTCAGGCCAGTGCGTAAACCACTGGCCAGTTGACAACAGTAAGATTCATCCAACTAGGTATATTTATATACCATAGGGAGGTTAGAATGGGCCACCACTGTGACCACAAATGCAAGTTTATACAGATGAATCTCCCGCCAGCGTGACTGTGACGAACTCTAGCTCAGGGCCCCTCAAAACTGTCATCATTACGACTCACTAGCCATGGGTTCTAACCCAACCCGTACTGTGGCTTCTTGGTAATCATCTTGTTACGTACATCCAGTAGTTTACACCTGAGATCATAGAGGAGGGTAATTGAGAGGGCATGATCTATCTGCCTTTTTCTTTATTTTTTGTGTCACGTTTGCTAGTTTACTAGTTTGCTAGTTTGCTAATTTGCTAGTTTTTTAGTTTGCCAGTTAGTTAGTTTGCTTGCTTGTTAGTTTGCTTTCGTGTTAGTTTGCTACTTTTGCTAGTTTGTTAGTTTTGCTAGCTTGTTAGTTTTTCTAGTTTATTAGTTTGCTGCTTTGTTAGTTTGCTAGTTTATTAGTTTGCTTGTTTGTTAGTTTACTAGTTTATTAGTTTGTTTGTTAGTTTACTAGTTTCTTAGTTGATTAGTTTTCTAGTTTGTTAGTTTGCTAGTTCGTTAGTTTATTAGGTTGCTAGTTTGTTAGTTTGCAGTTTGCTAGTCTCCTAGTTTCCAGTCAGCTGGTGCTTTGCCTTCCTCGACTGATGTATCGACTCTCAAGTGTGTAATCTAGGCTACTTCAGCACTTATGACTGAGATACTTGTGGAACAATTGGTAACTTTATTGTGGGAGTACGTCGCGAGCCAGTGCCTTCCTCAGTCTAATACAGAAAAGAATGGTTGAAGATCAGAAGTGAGTTTGAGGTGATCAGTCTCTCAGTGTTTCAGCATAATACTGTTTCTTCTCCTGTCCCCCTAGTATAACACTGTGTCTTTCTACCATCCCAGTACCCTAGTATAACACTGTGTCTTCCTACCATCCCAGTACCCCAGTATAACACTGTGTCTTCCTACCATCCCAGTACCCTAGTATAACACTGTGTCTTTCTACCATCCCAGTACCCTAGTATAACACTGTGTCTTCCTACCATCCCAGTACCCTAGTATAACACTGTGTCTTCCTACCATCCCAGTACCCCAGTATAACACTGTCTTCCTACCATCCCAGTACCCTAGTATAACACTGTGTCTTCCTACCATCCCAGTACCCCAGTATAACACTGTGTCTTCCTACCATCCCAGTACCCCAGTATAACACTGTGTCTTCCTACCATCCCAGTACCCCAGTATAACACTGTGTCTTCCTACCATCCCAGTACCCTAGTATAACACTGTGTCTTCCTACCATCCAGTACCCTAGTATAACACTGTGTCTTCCTACCATCCCAGTACCCCAGTATAACACTGTGTCTTCCTACCATCCCAGTACCCCAGTATAACACTGTGTCTTCCTACCATCCCAGCACCCTAGTATAACACTGTGTCTTCCTACCATCCCAGTACCCCAGTATAACACTGTGTCTTCCTACCATCCCAGTACCCCAGTATAACACTGTGTCTTCCTACCATCCCAGTACCCTAGTATAACACTGTGTCTTCCTAACATCCCAGTACCCTAGTATAACACTGTGTCTTCCTACCATCCCAGTACCCCATTATAACACTGTGTCTTCCTACCATCCCAGTACCCTAGTATAACACTGTGTCGTCCTACCATCCCAGTACCCTAGTATAACACTGTGTCTTCCTACCATCCCAGTACCCTAGTATAACACTGTGTCTTCCTACCATCCCAGTACCCTAGTATAACACTGTGTCTTCCTACCATCCCAGTACCCTTGTATAACACTGTGTCTTCCTACCATCCCAGTACCCCATTATAACACTGTGTCTTCCTACCATCCCAGTACCCTAGTATAACACTGTGTCTTCCTACCATCCCAGTACCCTAGTATAACACTGTGTCTTCCTACCATCCCAGTACCCTAGTATAACACTGTGTCTTCCTACCATCCCAGTACCCAGTATAACACTGTGTCTTCCTACCATCCCAGTACCCTAGTATAACACTGTGTCTTCCTACCATCCCAGTACCCTAGTATAACACTGTGGCTTCCTACCATCCCAGTACCCCAGTATAACACTGTGTCTTCCTACCATCCCAGTACCCTAGTATAACACTGTGTCTTCCTACCATCCCAGTACCCTAGTATAACACTGTGTCTTCCTACCATCCCAGTACCCTAGTAATAACACTGTGTCTTCCTACCATCCCAGTACCCTAGTATAACACTGTGTATTCCTACCATCCCAGTACCCTAGTATAACACTGTGTCTTCCTACCATCCCAGTACCCTAGTATAACACTGTGTCTTCCTACCATCCCAGTACCCTAGTATAACACTGTGTCTTCCTACCATCCCAGTACCCCAGTATAACACTGTGTCTTCCTACCATCCCAGTACCCTAGTATAACACTGTGTCTTCCTACCATCCCAGTACCCTAGTATAACACTGTGTCTTCCTACCATCCCAGTACCCTAGTATAACACTGTGTCTTCCTACCATCCCAGTACCCCAGTATAACACTGTCTTCCTACCATCCCAGTACCCTAGTATAACACTGTGTCTTCCTACCATCCCAGTACCCCAGTATAACACTGTCTTCCTACCATCCCAGTACCCTAGTATAACACTGTGTCTTCCTACCATCCCAGTACCCCAGTATAACACTGTCTCTCTCCCTACCATCCCAGTACCCTAGTATAACACTGTGTCTTCCTACCATCCCAGTACCCCAGTATAACACTGTCTCTCTCCCTACCATCCCAGTACCCTAGTATAACACTGTCCCCAGTACGACAGTGCAACACTGTGTCACCAGTACGACAGTGCAACACTGTGTCACCAGTACCACAGTATAGCAGCATCTCTCTCTCCCCAGTATAATGTTGTATCTCCCCCTCCCCCCCAGTTCTGTCGTACCCCAGCAAGAACCCCCGCAGCATCCTGTCTACCAGGACTCAGTACTCCATTACCAAGATGCTGCTTCTAATATCTACCGTTTTCATCATTCTTAATCTGCCCAGGTGAGCTAATCTACTTCTGTCGGAGGAAGTTGTGGTAGCATTGTGTCGTGTCGTGTCACCTGTCGTTGCCTGCCATAAGTAATGTGTCCTGTTGGTCAATGTCATGTGTCACTCTGCTTTTTGTGTCACTTTGTGTTTGTTTCTTTTGTTTAATGTGATTTTTGGTGTCATGTGTCTTTTGTTTACTGTGTCGCTTTGTGTCATGTTGTCTTTTGTTTTTGTGTTGTTTTGTGACATGTCTCTTTTGTTTTTTGTGTCATGTGTCTTTTGTTTTTGTGTCATGTGTCTTTTGTGTCATGTGTCTTTTGTTTTTGTGTCATGTGTCTTTTGTGTCATGTGTCTTTTGTTTTTGTGTCATGTGTCTTTTGTGTCATGTGTCTTTTGTTTTTGTGTCATGTGTCTTTTGTGTCATGTGTCTTTTGTTTTTTGTGTCATGTGTCTTTTGTGTCGTGTGTCTTTTGTGTCATGTGTCTTTTGTTTTTGTGTCATGTGTCTTTTGTTTTTGTGTCATGTGTCTTTTGTTTATTGTGTTTTTTGTGTTGTTTGTGTCGTTGTTTGTTATTATGTGTCTTAAAGCATTACTATTGTATCACCCTGGACTCTACCCCCATTATTTAATCATGGCTTGATCCGAGGAAGGTGAGCTCCGACTCCTTGGATCAACATCCCCCTTCACCAGCGTCAAGATGTGTAAGTGTAACGAATGTTGGTATGAGAGAAAGGTGGAGCGAGCCTCCAGCAGGTGACCTGTACCAGGTGACCTGCAGCAGGCGCAGGTGATAATCTTGGTGGTGACCTGCAGCAGTTGCAGGTAATAATCTTGACGGTGAACTGCAGAAGTTGTAGGTAATAATCTTGACGGTGACCTGCAGCAGGTGACTTGAGGCAGTTGCAAGTAATAGTCTTGATGGTGACCTGCAGCAGGTGACCTGCAGAAATTGCAAGTAATAGTCTTGATGGTGACCTGCAGCAGTTGCAGATAATAGTCTTCATGGTGACTTGCAGCAGGTGACCTGCAGCAGTTGCAGATAATAGTCTTCATGGTGACTTGCAGCAGGTGACCTGCAGCAGACGCAGGTAATAGTCTTGATGGATCGATATCAATAAGTATGATCTTCGTCGACACGATCATTCGCTAGACAACATCAGTCTAGGCCTAGACAGGTTTTTCCCGAGTCTGTCAGAATTTACTCAACTAACATCTGGGACTTCTACCGTATCATTCTGAGTCTTGTATCAAGCTCTTCCCTGTTGTGTTAGAAGAAACACTTACGTACACTCCAGAACATTCATTAGAGTGAACGTATCGTCACTAGTGACTTTTTCATTGGGAAAGAAGCCACTCATTTCTTCTTACTTACTTTTGACCACGAACGAGTGGTATTGATCAATAACAACACAGCACTAGCCAAGGACTCGAACCCATGCTGCTTTGGCATGGGTTCGAGTCCTTGGCTAGTGCAGTGTTGCTATTGATTCTTCTAATAAATATGGATAAATTAGACACATGTGCAACTCTTGGATATCTTTATTAATGAGTTGCACATGTGTCTAATTTATCAACGTGTCGGTTCTGTGAACCATTCATTTAATAAATGTACTGAACCGTATGTCTCTTCCCACATCTTGTAGGTATCACCGATCCATTCTTCAGTGGTCTCTAGATTATTTACGAGGGTTTGCTTATTCGACAAGATTAGATCAAAGAAACAGTTTTAGCAAGGAGTCCTTAACCACTTCCAGCAAGTCACTCAACTCCAGATTACCAGTCAAGAAATTTCAGTGAATCTGACTAAAGTTAAAATCCCTTATTACTGTTATTGCGTTGTTGTGTCTAGAAACCCTAACAGTTTCGTCCCAGAGAAGTCTCTCTCTCTCTCTCTCTCTCTCTCTCTCTCTCTCTCTCTCTCTCTCTCTCTCTCTCTCTGTCTATCTATCCATCTATCTATCTATCTATCTATCTATCTATCTATCTATCTATCTATCTATCTATCTATCTGTTGGTTTCTAAGCTTAGAAGTCGGTATATTACACCTAAAATTAGTTTTTCTTTTCTAACTTGGAATTCTACCCAAACGAATTTTACGTCTAATCAACTGGTTTTTATTCAGTAATTTAAGCAACATTTTTTTGCAACATTTCATATTTTCTCGTACATAAAGGCTGCTGTACTCCTCTTCCTGTTGTTTCTGTCAACATGGAACAACTTAAACCCTTGACTGTGATACTCAGCAATCATGTCTGGTCTCTTCAAATTAAATCAAGTTCCCAGCACTTTCCCAGCACGTGTAACCAGACGTAATTCGCTCATCTTATTTCTGTCACCTATTATTTGTGGAAAATTTTTTTAAGGCTATTTGTCGTCTGTTCCTTTTCCGTTTTTATCTTCTCCTTTTCATAATTTCTCCTAAAATTTACATTATCACACTATTGATAATTTAAACAACTCAGATCGCTGATTTTACAATCTTTTTGTCTCTCACAAAACCCTTACCACAAACTATTTATAGTTTAAAGCCTTAATAGCTTCCTTCACTGCTCTAGCCAGTGCCTCCACACCTGCCCTAGATAAGTGAACCCAGTCCACTGCCCTAGCCAGTGTCTCCACACCTGCCCTAGATAAGTGACACCTGCCCTAGAAAAGTGAACCCAGTCCACTGCTCTAGCCAGTGCCTCCACACCTGCCCTAGATAAGTGAACCCAGTCCACTGCTCTAGCCAGTGCCTCCACACTTGCCCTAGAAAAGTGAACCCAGTCCACTGCCCTAGCCAGTGCCTCCACACCTGCCCTAGAAAAGTGAACCCAGTCCACTGCTCTAGCCAGTGCCTCCACACCTGCCCTAGATAAGTGAACCCAGTCCACTGCTCTAGCCAGTGCCTCCACACCTGCCCTAGATAAGTGAACCCAGTCCCTGGCATACATGTCACCTCTGCTATAGAAAAGGTCCCATTTGTCTATAAGTGGTACTTCCTTGCAGTGTTAGTCCAGCCAGCAATTAACATCAATTGCCCTGGACAACCTATAATTTCCAACTCCCCTCCTTGGTAAACTGTCACATATTACGGGGCACCCTTTCTGTCTCCCTAATTACCTCTATTCATGACATATACCTGCTAATACCTGTGATGGTGACCTGCAGCAGGTGTATGTGACCTGCAGCAGGTGTTTCCAGTAGATTTCTTTCTCAGTCCATTGTATTAATATTATATTATGCCAAAATAATGTTGTTATATAAAAATTGTATTAAATATTATAGTAATATTAATATCAATATTATATTAACATTATGTTGATATTAATATTATATTATATTCCATTAATATTATGTTAATTTTATTATTATTGTGGTATTTATGGATTTGGAAAAGGCGTATGACAGGGTGGATAGGGGGGCAATGTGGCAGATGTTGCAAGTGTATGGTGTAGGAGGTAGGTTACTGAAAGCAGTGAAGAGTTTTTACGAGGATAGTGAGGCTCAAGTTAGAGTATGTAGGAAAGAGGGAAATTATTTCCCAGTAAAAGTAGGCCTTAGACAAGGATGTGTGATGTCACCGTGGTTGTTTAATATATTTATAGATGGGGTTGTAAGAGAAGTAAATGCGAGGGTCTTGGCAAGAGGCGTGGAGTTAAAAGATAAAGAATCACACATAAAGTGGGAGTTGTCACAGTTGCTCTTTGCTGATGACACTGTGCTCTTGGGAGATTCTGAAGAGAAGTTGCAGAGATTGGTGGATGAATTTGGTAGGGTGTGCAAAAGAAGAAAATTGAAAGTGAATACAGGAAAGAGTAAGGTAATGAGGATAACAAGAAGATTAGGTGATGAAAGATTGGATATCAGATTGGAGGGAGAGAGTATGGAGGAGGTGAATGTATTCGGATATTTGGGAGTGGACGTGTCAGCGGATGGGTCTATGAAAGATGAGGTGAATCATAGAATTGATGAGGGGAAAAGGGTGAGTGGTGCACTTAGGAGTCTGTGGAGACAAAGAACTTTGTCCTTGGAGGCAAAGAGGGGAATGTATGAGAGTATAGTTTTACCAACGCTCTTATATGGGTGTGAAGCATGGGTGATGAATGTTGCAGCTAGGAGAAGGCTGGAGGCAGTGGAGATGTCATGTCTGAGGGCAATGTGTGGTGTGAATATAATGCAGAGAATTCATAGTTTGGAAGTTAGGAGGAGGTGCGGGATTACCAAAACTGTTGTCCAGAGGGCTGAGGAAGGGTTGTTGAGGTGGTTCGGACATGTAGAGAGAATGGAGCGAAACAGAGTGACTTCAAGAGTGTATCAGTCTGTAGTGGAAGGAAGGCGGGGTAGGGGTCGGCCTAGGAAAGGTTGGAGGGAGGGGGTAAAGGAGGTTTTGTGTGCGAGGGGCTTGGGCTTCCAGGAGGCATGCGTGAGCGTGTTTGATAGGAGTGAATGGAGACAAATGGTTTTTAATACTTGACGTGCTGTTGGAGTGTGAGCAAAGTAACATTTATGAAGGGGTTCAGGGAAACCGGCAGGCCGGACTTGAGTCCTGGAGATGGGAAGTACAGTGCCTGCACTCTGAAGGAGGGGTGTTAATGTTGCAGTTTAAAAACTGTAGTGTAAAGCACCCTTCTGGCAAGACAGTGATGGAGTGAATGATGGTGAAAGTTTTTCTTTTTCGGGCCACCCTGTCTTGGTGGGAATCGGCCAGTGTGATAATAATATAATAATAATAATAATAATAATAATAATAATAATAATAATAATAATAATAATAATAATAATATTATTATTATTATTATTATTATTATTATTATTATTATTATTATTATTATTATTATTATTATATTTTAAACTCGTATGGGTCATATAGGTAATATTTCCGTGTGTTCGACTTTCTTTTGATGGTTGACTTGACGTTATTTGAACGGAGGTTCGAGTCCCAGCTGAGTTTGAGACACTTGTAACTCTGCCATCTAACCAACTTAGCTGCTGCATGTATATGTAAATTTATTTATCTATCTATCTATCTATCTATCTATCTATCTATCTATCTATCTATCTATCTATCTATCTATCTATCTATCTATCTATGCTTGCTGTAGGTGTTTTGAATGTTTTGTGTTCACAGTATTAGTTCTCGAAGTGGGGGTCGCGAACCCCAGGATTTTTCTCAGTTAAAGGAGAGTCAAATTACTGTTTTTTTTATATGTATAGATCTATGAATCTGAAGTTAAAAAAAAAAAGGTTTTTCTTTGTGTATTAATGTCTCTGTCCACTTGTGACCTGTCTTGACCTGACCTGTGTCTCTCCTGCAGCCACGTGATCCGGGTTCACGCCTTCATCAGCAGCCTGTGGGGGGAGGATCACGACAGCGATGAGGTGACCATGTGGAACCTGCAGCAGCTATTCATGCAGCTGCAGTACACCCACTTCAGCATCAACTTTGTCTTCTATTCCACCTGCGGCGCCACGTTCAGGAAGTGCCTCTTTCAGCTCCTCCCCATGAGAGTCAGGACCTGCTGCTGCTCCGGCAGGAGCACCAACTCGCAGAGGTACCAGTGATGTGGGAGTCAGAAAGGTGCACCGCCTTTGGATAGGTTTTTTTTTTGGTGAGGTCCCAAGGACCTCCTAGCCGAGGTTCAAACGACTTTTATCTAGCATAGGTCCTAGTGAAAAGGGACCTACTGACAGAGGTGACAGTGTAAACACCCTCCTGAATGGAACCGGTTAGCAGAGGTTCTCATGAATAGGACCTACTAGCAAAGGTCCCCTTGAATAGGATCTGCTATCAAAGGTCCCCAAGAAGAAAAAAAAGGATCTGCTGGCAGAAATCCCTGTAAATAGGACCTCCATGCAGAGACTTTGCTAAGGTCCCAAAATATTAAAACTTCCTAGCAGAGGTCCCAGTTAATAAGACCTAACGGTAAAGGTAGGGGAGATACCCCTTTTAGAAGCAGCAGTCAGTGGTATCCCTGGAAATAAATGTATCAGTATCCGAGATCCCAGACTGAGGTACCAGTAAACGCACATACCGCTTACCGGAAAAAAAGGTACTAGTGAATAGTACTCTTAGCGGAAGTACTAGTAGACCGAGCCCCTGGCAGAGAGTGCTAGTACCTGGTACTCTTAACATAAAATTACGTGATACCTGAATCAGGGATAATAGGGTATGCTACTCTACTGTAAAGGCAACAGAAGATAATAGGGTATGCTACTCTACTGTAAAGGCAACAGAAGATAGCACCCGTTAACGGACGTACGAGTGACTGGACTCTCTAGTTGAGCTGCTGTTTTGGGAAGGATCCAGTGGCTGGAGTACTAGGAAGAAAAGCACTGTAAGATTCCACCAGCAGGGAATCGAATACTAATCGAATCTCGTACTGGCGATGATCCAATTGAACTGATCTCTGTAAGGGAAGGTTGGGGAGATGTGCTACCTTTAGCATCAAGAACTGGGAGACCAGTGGGAGTATACCTGGGTAGATGTGCTACTAGATGGACTCTGGTATCAGCAGATGATGGTAGACAAACACCAGCTGAAAGGACACACAACAAAAAGAGGTGCTTACGGCTGTTGTAGATCCTGACTGAGTGAGGAGTATTGGATGTGAAGGAATCCAAAGTAATTTTTTATTCACACAAAAGACACCAAGAGAGAGCGAGAGGAAATGTTATAACACCGATAAAGGGAGTATTAAAGAAACTTTAAAGACGCCGATAAAGGGAGTGTTAGAAGAACTTTAAGGACACCATTAAAGGGAGTGTGAGAGGAACTTTATAGACGCCAGTAAAGAGAGAGTGTGAGAGGAATTTTAAGAGCTATATTAAAGGAAGCGAGAGAGGAACGTCAAGGTCCCATAATTACAGGTATGAGTTCCGCTCCTTCTAATCGTGGGACACCAGGAGTGTTCTCGCTATGTGTTACACACGAAGCGGAAGTTTGAGCCGCGCGTCTTACGACGCTGTGGTCTGGCAAGGCAGCGGCGGTCATGTGACCCTCAGTTCAAGTAGGTCATCATGGCACCAAAATCCGCTTCATACCTCTACTGAAAAGTAAAATACCACTAGTACCACCACCACTACCACCACCATCACTACGACAACAACAACAACAACAGCAACAACCACCACCACCACTATCACTACCACAACAACAGCAGCAGCAGCCACAACCACCACCAACAATGGCCCCTCGATACAATACTATAAAAAACTGAATCAGTGACTTATCTTTTCGAAGGCACTCTGTACACACTGATACTAACACTAGTGCCAACACTGGCACCACCACTAGTGCCATCACTGGTGCCAACATTGGTGCCAACACTGGTGTCATCACTGGTGCCAACACTGGCGCCATCACTGGTGCCAACACTGGCGCCAACACTACGTCCAGAAACTCAAAAACACATTTTAACATAAGTGAACGCATCTTCCTAAAGACGTGTCCGAAATACTCTGCAACTATGTGTTATGTCTTCCCGAGGTCATGGCTGGTGTCTTTGCTTGTTGCTGGTCATCCTGTTCTAGACACATGTCTAGTTTTATCCCAGACGACACGTCACAAGCCTCCATATCAAAGACATTTACTCATGTCCAGATTTTAAGTCATTCTGTTACATGTCATTCTTATTCTTATTGTCTCATTTATATATATATATATTATATATATATATATATATAATATATATATATATATATATATATATATATATATATATATATATATATATATATATATATATAAATATATATATATATATATATATATATATATATATATATATATATATATATATATTATATATTATATATATATATATATTATATATAAGTTATTGTGATAAGTTTTGTAATGATTTTGTATGTACTCTCTCTCTCTCTCTCTCTCTCTCTCTCTCTCTCTCTCTCTCTCTCTCTCTCTCTCTCTCTGTCAATGTCAAGATGCTATTGCTTGCAAGAGGCAACTGACCTTCGTCTGGAAATCGTAATTATAGTCCAGCAGGTGATTAGTATAATCAGGCAGCCAGATGGTTGTGTCTGCAGCTCAGCTGCAACACTGCCTGTAATTAATCATATATTTTGACTCACTTGTGAAACTTCAGCTCTCAACAGACTGTTTAGCAAGTGTAATAATGTTATTGCCCAACAACAACAACAACAACAACAACAACAACAACAATAATAATAATAATAATAATAATAATAATAATAATAATAATAAGAAGAAGAAGAAGAAGAAGAAGAAGAAGAAGAAGAAGAAGAAATCTTTCATTATCTTCAGCATTTTTTTTATTTTTTATAATATCTCTGTTACCACTTTCGCATTCTTTATTACCTTCTTCATCTTCTTAAAGAGGGAGAGAGCACAAATAATATATATTATATATATAATATATTATATATATTATATATTATATATATATATATATATATATATATATTTATATATATATATATATATATATTATATATATGCACAGCTTGTAAAATTTTTGTGTATATCATTAAATTTTAATATGAAATCATTGAGATAAGTGAAGCCAGCTGTGTATAAATGAGTTTTTGCAACTGTTTTTAAGTTGTCAGTTTCGTTTCGACATGTTGGGTGTCTTTCTAATTAGCTTAATGTACTGAAAAAACTTATTAGGAATAAATAATATCACTATGTTCATTATATTATTATGTTTGTTTAAGATATTATTAATAAATTTATTCGTATTATTGTCAAATTATTTTTTGGGGGGATTATATTCATTCCTATTCTTATTTATTTTACGTTTGAGAATAACCCACCGTTGTAATTTCGGCCATCTGACCGAGGCCTTCCGCTGGCTTATGGGTGTTTTAGGTCCTTGTTAATGTATATAGATTTCTTTGTATGTGAGAGAGAACGTATGTATGTTAGTACGCGTAAATAAACGCTTTTAACTGATATCCAGACACCAGGTGTGTCTTTTAAACATCAATCAAATTTCATGTAATGTAGATAAACAGTGAGATAGTTTATTTGTACGTAAACATCGGGGTTTTGTGTTATACTCTGGGAACAATGTTTAGCAGCGGCGCCAGATATTCTTGAGTCTCCCCTCGACGAGTCGACGCAGAAAACTAGACCAGGAGGGTAAACTATTATGTTTTGATTGTCCTTTTTCTCTCTCTTTCTCTCTTTCTTTTTCTCTCTGGTCATTATTTCTGGTGCATTTTTATGAACATTAAAGCTCTCGTGTCAATTTTTTATATCTTTACTCTCGCTTGTTGGTATAGTAATAAAATTTCAAAAGCAGATAAACTGTTTTATTATGAACATAGACTGTGCGTGGAGGTCTCTAACTCAAGGACCATAACATAAACATTAATTTATTGAGATTTATTGCTCGCGGCAGATCGACACCATGCCCAGCCCTTCTAGGGTAGGGTAGGTGCCTGAGCCAGAGCTTGTAGCTCACGAGACTGTCATTCCCATTACCCCCCTTGGGGCGGGGATGGCAGACCAGAGAAGTCTAGCTTCTCCCTACGATTCCCGTGAGGGCAGGGAATGTGGCTAGGCCTGGGGACAGTTGGTCCCAAAGATGAGGGGGTACTTGTGCCTCCTCCCATGGGAGACTTAGATCTCAGACCCTCCCAAGACAGGGAGCCAAGGCCGGGCCACCACTTGGAAAAGGCCCGGGCCGGGAGAATACCAGCGAATCTTTAATAATAATAATTATTATTATTATTATTGCTCGTAGAATTATACACACCGAGACGTTTATGTCTCTCGAAGTATATACCGGGTATATACACTGAGAGGTCCATATCTCCCTGCATATATACACCGATAGTTTAAATTAATCCCTATTTTAGGCATATAAAAATGTTTTTGATCATCCTTAATGACCCTAGTGTAGTAGATAGGCTTCAAACCCAAACTCCTATATATGCATATAATTCAAGAGAATTAAATATATCACGGGGAATGGGTGGCCAGCAAGACTGATCCGAGGAAGTGGAGGATAAGATCGACCATGTCTGGGTTATCCTAACTATTGAACTTACTGATAAGTTATTATGTAAATTCTCCAGTGAACTCAAATTAAGTTGTAAAGAACAACTGTCGATAAATAAACGGA